TATATATATATATATATATATATATATATATATATATATATAGTACACTAGCTAATTTATATATTCCCAGATAAATTATGTGTATAATTGTACATTGAATTAATCTAAATAATTAAAATAGTTATTTATTTATTTTTTTATTATATAATTTATATATTATTACAAATTATTTTTATATTATTTAATACATCATTTTCATTTAATATTATATTTATTATTATGAATTTTTTTATATTATTTTAATATATTATCTTATTTGTATTAAATATTATATTTATTATTTTAATACATATGCATAACACAATATGTAACAAAATAACTATTTATTAACTTTCATATTTACAGATTTGACCCATGAGTTAAATTTAAATATAATTATTATTATTACAATTGTACATAAGTTCCTATACATCATTTAATTCTAAAAAATAGCCCAAACCCCATTCCAGTTTCAGCTTTTGAAATCGCCACGTCACCTCTGTTAGTGTTATATACTGAAAGCTTGACTTTAGATGATATTACACATTTGCCTTTTATGAATGAGAATCGTGTTAGATTAAACAAGTTCTATGTTCTTTTGTTTTGCACTTAGATGGAATGGGTCGTCATCGAACGAACCGAAGATCATTCTATCAGTTACTTGCGAAACAAGAAATTGTGGTTCACAACCTAGATCGAAATGAACACCCCATCCGAACAGTTGTAGTGTCAATGGTACAGTTTGTCTTGACTGATTAGTTGCACTAGTACATTTATGTATTGAACAGAATCCCAGAGAGGAGAAGTTCGTTTTATACTGATCGTCGTAAATGAATTAGGTCTCGGTTAATTACTATGTTCTCTTAACCGTAAGATATTAAATAGACATATATATGCAATATATATTATTTTGATTCACCGGGGTGAGATTCAGTTCGTTGAATTAATATTCCTACTGTATTGGGTAATATTACTGTATGTATGATGTACTGTTAGAATATTTACGGTCACCATGTACGTTTAGTTTGATGATGTCCCAAGAGTGAGGTCATGAAGGATTATTATCCTAAACCCTGCAGGTGGATTAAATTCCGGCATAGTAATAATGTGATGAACGAGCGCTAGCTTTGGTGAAATAATAATAATTTAATTAATTCTTGATTATCAGTAATCAAATTAATTAATGGACATTATATCTTAAACATGTGGATGTAATTCAGGTAATTATCATTGGAATCTCAATTGTAAATTGGGCTAGGAAAAGGGAGTGCAATAATATTGTGTTAGTGGCCCCTAATATTATTTAATTAATTAGAGGAGTAGGTTTGGCCCACAGTTAGTCTAATTAATTAAAGATCTCTATTCCTAATCTCTTAAAGGTCCCTACTGTAGCCCTATATATACCTAATAGAGAAGAGAAGAAGACATAATAATTCTCCTACGTGATATTATATCACACGCACGCCTCTCTCTCTCTCTCAGTTTCTGTTTGAGCTTTATCTTCTTCTTGTTACTCCACCGATACAAGTTGAAGAGGTGTAAGAGTAATACAGTAGAAGATCACGAGGTAATTAAGAAACATATATTCATCAACCTTGTGATCAACCGGAGCAGACCCCGCGACGAACCCGACCCGTTGGACCGCCGACCCGACGGGCCGAGACCCGCTGTGACCCAGACAGAGCCTTGACGCTGACCGTGATGCGCCACTCGGTGCCCCGCGACGCGCCAGCCCAACGACCCGACTGACGCACACGACCCGCTCCGATGCATCACAACTGGCTCCGACCCCGCGACCCATTTGTGTGATCCAACTCTCGTTCGTGTTTAGATCCTGTTCAATCCGAATCCTCCAGATTCAGAAAATTTTAAGCCGTAAACTTTTTTACATCAAACCTTTAGATCCGTTGCGCATAGGTTTACGTTTGCTATTGGATTCGTAACTTGTACATAACGAGATCCTCACAGATCCCAACAAGTGGTATCAGAGCACTTGGTTAATTCGTTTTGTACAAACTTCGAATTTTTACGGCTTTATTTGACAAGATGTGTTCAAACGCAACCATATATTGGATTATATTCGCATAACTCAGTTTTGCATAAATTAGTTTAATCCACTATTACGACCAACTATGTGTTTGATGAATGTTGTTGAAAGTGATATATGGTTTTAACATTGTTTTTAAAGTCTCGGACATGTCGAGGAATTATAGATGAATGTTTGTAATAATTATTCGCTTGAGGGTTGACCGAATATATTAATTATTTGTTTAGAAAACAAGTACATCCACTCGTTGGATCTAGGATCGGATTATGTAATTTTGTAAATTATATTTTTTATATTGTGATCGTGGATTAATGATCGAGAGATCACAAGTGACCAACGAGCCTCGAAAAATCAACCAGACCGGAGCCCGGTTGGACGTGCGAAACGTGTGAGAACAAAAAAAAATTCCGCTCGAATTTTTCGACCACCGGCGGGCGGCGGCTCGAGGTGGAAAGGTTTTACTGGGTGGACAAGCAGTACAATATCAACCAGGATTCTACTGCAGTAGGAGTTCCAGTTGAACAGAGAAAGAATATACAAAGTTTCCTTGTTTAAGGAGATTCTTTATTTAATGGCCATAATGGTGGATTTATTTATTTAAATTTATTATGCCATTAATTATTTATTTATTTATGCATGTTAATTAAGTATTGTTTTTGCATGTGATTAATTTAGAATTACATATTTATTTATGCATGTTAATTAATTATTGCATTTGCATGAGATTAATTTAGAACTGAATAAATATTTAAATATTTAAAAATCCTCATTTAAATTATACTAAGTTTGAGAAGAGATTTTAAATTATAGTTAATTTTAAAATTCCTAAAGCCTCTATTTCTAATTTTTTGGTAAATTAATTAATTGTGGTATGGCCTTCCCCTTGGGTGACACCACTAAATTTAATTGTAAGAAATTATCTGGACGAATTTATAATTAGACGATTAGAGGAAATCCTATGAGAGCGTACGGGCTTCCCCTCGAATGACGTATAATCAAATTTGACGACCTTAGGATCAAAAAATGGGATTCACTTAGAATGCGATTAAATTTATTAACCCCCCTCGGGGTCTCTGAATTCTATTTCATGGCCAAACGAAAATCGACTATTAATTTCATTCGTCATGAATTTGGTTTTGACTTATGGAAATTAATGAGATCTTGAAAATCCCTTCTCGGCGAATGTTGAGTTTTGTAGCGTTACCCTCGTATCATGCATTCCTCAGGGTGTTTTGAGATGTCGGTGAATTCAAGTTAATATTGTTTTGAGGATGTCAATATCAATAGTTAAATTCGTAGTGTTTAATCTGTAAAACTATTTTCATGATTCTCAGGCTATATTCATCATGTCGTTTAATCCGTTATCTGGCATTCTAAAAGAAAATCAGCTTACTTATCCAAATTACATTGACTGGAAGAGGAACTTAGACATTGTGTTGATTGTTGAGGGTTAAAGTATTCTATCACTGAAGCTTTCCCGGCATAGCCCGCGGCCGATTCTCCTGAGCAGGAGAAAGAGGAGCATGCCCGGTGGAAAAAGACTAATGAGATGGCGAAGTGTTACATTCCGGAATCTATGTCGAATGTTCTTCAAAATCAACATCAGTCTATGAACACTACGGCAGACATGCTTCTCAATCTCAAGAATGTGTTCGGACATCAGTCTAGGGCTGCTAATTCGTATGGTTTTCATTTACGTTTGATGACTTGGTTATTATTCGCCATGGAAATTGTTTGATTTGTTCTAGTTCATTAGTTGGAAATTTGTATGTTATTAAACCAGACTATCTCACACTGTAACAAACTGAATTGAATAATGTCATGACTAAATCTAATAAGAGGAAAGAGTCTTCGTAGATAAACCAAGCATATCTTTGGCACCTTAGACTTGGGCACACCAACCTTAGGAGGATTGAAAAGTTGGTATTTAGTGGGCATCTCGGTCCATTAGAAAGTCATTACCCAACTTTCGAATCATTCCTGGAAGGTAAGATGGCCAAGAGGTCGTTAACAACAAAGGGGTATAGGAGCCAAGAAGTGCTAGGACCGATTCATCCTGATTTGTATATTCCTATGTCGATCAAGACTAGAGGAGATTTCGAGTATTTTGTCTCTTTCATTGATGATTACTCGAGATTTGGGTACATTTATCGGTTGCACTGCAAGTCCGAATGGTTTGAGAAATTCAAGGAGTATCGAGCAGTTGTGAAGAAGCTTCATGGTAAAATTATCAAGTCGCTTCGATATGATCGAGGTGGCGAATACCTCTTTGGAGAATTCAGGACATACTTATCGGAAGCTGGAATTGAATCCCAACTGACTGCACCCGGCACGCCCCTGCAAAACGGGGTTGCAGAGCGAAGAAATGAGACTGTTATGAAAATGGTCAGGTCGATGATGAGTTATTCAAAGTTACCAGATTCGTTCTGGGGCATGGCTTTAGAAACAACACCATATATCCTGAACATTGTTCTTTCAAAGTCAGTTAAAATTACTAATTATGAGATGTGGAAAGAGCGCGAACCCAGTTTCTTACAATTTCAAGTATGGGGTAGTTCTGCATACGTGTTAGTGCAGGAAGCTGGCAAGTTGGAGAAACAATCAGAAGCACAAGTGTCCATTGGCTATCCCAAGGGAACAGAAGGTGGATTATTTTATAGTCCCGAGGATTAAAAGGTGATCGTTAGCACGAATGCTAGATTTTTAGAAGAAGACTATATTATGAATCACAAGCCCGCGAGTAGATTAGTCTTAGAGGAGTTGAGGTGTGAAGTCGATAGTTCCCCACCGAGTACGCAAGTAGGTACATCACATAATACTGAAACACGACACACTGAGAGTGTACCAGTACAGACAGTACCTCTTCGTAGTGGTAGGGTTTCTTATTTACCCGACCGACGGATACGTCTTGGAGAGTCATCGAACTCAGTTCCAGAAAACCTAGAATCGGACCCAAGGACCTACAACAAGGCACTCCAAGATAAAGATGCAGATTCATGGGATGTTGCAATGAAAGCTGATATGGGGTCAATGTACTCTAATCCAGTCGGGGATCTTGTAGAACCACCCGAAGGGGTACGACCCATTGGATATAAGTAGATCTATAATAGAAAGAGAAGATCGGATGGAAAAGTACAAACCTTGAAAGCTAGGATTGTTGCGTAAGGTTATACCCAGATTGAGGGTATAGACTATGATGAGACCTTTTCTCTAGTAGCTATGCTTAAGTCCATTCGGATTTACTTGTCCGTAGCCGCTCATATGGATTATGAGGTCTGGCATATGGATGTCAAGATGAATTTCCTTAACGGAAACCTTCAAGAGGACATGAGATTCATTGCTAAGGGACATGGGCATCTAGTGTATAAGCTTAGTCGGTCTATCTATAAACTGAAGTAAGCTTCAAGATCTTGGAACATACAGTTCGATAAAGTGATCTAGTCATACGGGTTCACTCAATGTCGGGATGAGTACTGTGTGTACAAGAAAATCAGTGGGAGCGTGATGGTGTTTCTTGTGCTTTACTAGATGACATACTTCTTATTGGAAACAATAAGAAATGAGTTATCAGACGTTAAGGTGTGGTTGTCTAAGCAGTTTGATATGGACTTAGGTGAAGTAGGACATATTCTTGGTATTAGGGTCTTTCTAGACCATAAGAAGAGAATGTTGTGCTTATCCCAGTCTTCATACATAGATATTGTCTTGGCTAGACTTAACATGCAGGATTCTAAGAAAGGTATGTTACCTTTCAGACATAAAATCGCTCTATCCAATGAGATGTCTCCTAATACGTCTCAGGAGATAGAAGACATAAAGACAATTCCTTATGCCTCGGCAGTAGGAAGTCTTATGTATGCTATGCTGCCACGAGGCCAGATTTTAGCTACACCGTTGGCATGGTAGCTAGATATCAAAGTAATCCTTGAAGGGAAACATTGGTCTTCGGTGAAACATATTTCAAGTACCTGAGAAGGACTAAGGAGTACATGTTAGTTTACTGTGCAGACAGCTTGTTACTTTTGGGTATCAGTGATTTCGATTTCCAGTCAGACAGGGACGAGAGTGTGTTTACCTTAGGAAAAAGAGCAGCTTATGGAGAAGTGCTAAGCAGAAATGCGTGCCAGACTCCACCATGGAGACGAGTACATAGCAGCCTCAGAGGCAGTATGACTCAGAAACTTCTTAGTTGACTTAGAGGTGATTCCGAGTTTTCCAAGTTGTATCACGGTGTACTGTGATAACACTGGAGCAGTAGCGAACTCAAGAGAACCACGAACACACAGAGCAAACAAACACATAGAGCGGAAGTACTATCTGATACGAGATATAGTTGGTAGAGGAGACATTGATGTTGCGAAGATTACATCAGAGGACAACCTAGCTGATCCTTTAACGAAGGAATTGAAGTCAGGTGTATGGCGATAGGATCGACATAGGTCTTTTAGAATAACAAATTGATAGAACTATACTTGTAAAAGCGAAAGCTTTAAATATAAGTGGGAGATTGTTAGTGTTATATACTGAAAGCTTGGCTTTGGATGATATTACACTTTTGCCTTTATGAATGAAAATCATGTTAGATAAAACAAGTTTTACGCTCTGTTGTTTTGCACTTAGATAGAATGGATCGTCATCGGGGGAACCGAAGATTATTCTATCAGTTACTTGCGAAACAAGAAATTTTGGTTCACAATCTAGATGGAAATGAACACCCCATCCGAACGGTTGTAGTGTCAATGGTACAGTTTGTC